CTGCCTCTTCACTTCCTTAGGCCAAGAAGGAAATTACTTCCATCTAGACTTTAAAGAAAACTGGAGATAAGTCAAGCCCAAGTCAACACACGATTTGTCTTTCATTTTTTGATATTTATGAAAGCAGAGAAACGTGTGGGGACTGGAGCACTGAAAACCGTAGTTTAACGAAATCCACTAATGATACTTTTCTACCAGTTAGTACTCGTACGTCCTATATAGTAATATACTGTTGTCCAAACTCTAGGAAGTTGCCTAAAGTTGTGGTTTAATCTAGTCTTGAATATGTAAACAAGTGCATGTTCTGCTGGAATGCTTGACCCCTGCATTTCTTCGTTTATCACCATGTTCTGTTGACCCCTTTGCTTTTTTTAAAAAAATAATTTTTATCTAACTCTTTTACATAAATTTTTGGATATTGTCTGCTCCCTCACCAATTTATTTTATTAAGTTGTCAATACACCTAACACAATTATGCCGGTTTGACACATGGAATGGAAATATGGCTTTGGAATGGAGCTTATGAGCAGTACCGGAACCCAGAAGTTGCCCTGGATTTATCTTCGGACTATTGGCATTGTTGAGCAGCATCGATGATATGTCTCCTGTAGAATTTCGATCATTTTCGGAGCACATTTTAGGAAACTATCGTGTTGGGAAACGTGCATATTCTTCTGCCGGTTCTTCGAAACATTGGTCTTGTCATACAAAATCTTGGAATTATTGCTAACTTGGAACATCAGTTTCTTACTTAGGTTTATTGACTGTGATTGTTAACAAGTAATTAGTAATTACCGTGTCAATGCAAATGCAAATGCAAATGATGATAAGTAAGGTCAGCATCTCTTGCATATTAAGGCAAATTTTTGGTTTTCATAAAGTCTTTTGGCAATTCGGATTTGGACAAAAATTATTTATTTTTTGGGTGGAAATGGGCCAACGGGAAAACCTCGTTTTCATAGTCCTCGCCACAACTGAGATGTTTCTGCGAACAAATTCCATCTTTTTCGCCACAACTGAGATGTTTCTGCGAACAAATTCCATCTTTTAGGCCTGATCAAAAGGTCATTTTTATCATCTTTAGTAATTTATGTTCTTATTATAAGTTGACTGAAATCTCGGATTTCAGTTTCAATTGTGTTTTCTTACTCCTCATGTATGGTAGTTTTAATTCTTATTTTCATTCAAAATTTTTCTTTTTTTTCGGAAAACTTCATATTTTTATTATTTTGAATTAGAGAATAGGTATTTCTGGTTTTTTGTTTTGCCTAGATATTTAGACACCCCATTGTAATGAAAACTGATCCAATTAATGAGATTTTGAGTTTTCTCTCTATTTTTCAATCTTCAGTATTCTTGGTGAATCGACAAATTTTGTTGCCAATTTCCGGCATTCTATGGGCGTCAATGAATTTGAAGTAGGTACCTTGACATTCTGTATGAATTCAGATTAACTGATTTACCTCTTTTATCTTTATTGTTTTGTTTTTTTCTCTCATTAAGCTTCCGCTACATCAGCCGGCTAGAGGAACTCCTTTGACTTCTTCTCTAATTCTTAATCTTCCTGACTTCTTTCTTCCGTTGTTTATACTTATTTATGTGTTCCAAGCATGTAGGGAACCATGTCTCAACTTATTTATTTGAATGTTTGAATATATAGTCCTGGTTTAGTAGAGACGACCTCCAAGATTTGTCCGTCTGTCATCTTTCTATGAAATATGGAACTGAGGAGTGAAATTTGTATCAACTTTGTTTTGTTTTGTTTTTTGTTTTTTATGTTCTTGAATTATTTATTAACTGTGTGCTTGTGGCCCATAATAGTTCTCAGAAATTACAATGATTTGGAACTTTTTAGAAATATGGTGCAAGTTGAAATAAGTTATCTATTTCATTGATAATTAGTCAATATAATTTGGATAAACTAATTTCCTTTTAATTCACAGAATTAAAAACTTCCGCCAAAGATATATGTATAGGGTCCTTACCTTATATCGATTAAAATTCAAACTAGCTATCCTATCAAAAGTGACATATTTCTAGGCTCAATAAAACGCTTTGAAGCATAAAGGAACTCAAACTCGAAGACAAATTAAAACTCAAAACCATGTTTGATGAAGACCAATAGAATACTCAAAACCAAACTTTAACTCTTGTAATTGAAAATTGATTAAAAAGAAGACCATTCTAAAAACAATATAATTGTTTATTTATAATTCAGATCTTTAACAATTAAATATGACATTTCTCTTATGTTTAATTATGTTTTTTTTTTTCAAGTGTCTTCAGCTAAAGAAAGAAAATATTATTCCTGGTTACTAATTACCGCGTAATTTGATTTATTCTCCTGTACGACATGCGTCATATAGGATGTTGGTATTCTTCTAATTTTGTGCCTGCTGTGCTGAGGCTCTGTGTGATGACAGGGATTAGAACTGTTCTTATTCCGTTGTCTGCTGTTTTTTTTGGGCTTAAGGTCTCGTTCATTTCACTGATTCGAGTTTAGAATTCGAGTTTTGATACGGTAAAAAGTTTTCAGAAACAGTAACATTTAACTTTTTTATTACAGTAAAAAACTCTCACATAAAATCACATCTTAATTTTAACGTTTTTTTCTGGATGTTTTGCTTTGTGTCTTTCGAACAGGTTACGGCCTTTATTTTTGGCCTTCTTTTTTTGACCTGTTGTTGCCCTGTCTGTTTCTTTTTGCCTTTGTTTAATGAAAGACGCTATTCAGCCAAAAAAAAAAAAAAAAGTACCACACCTTTGATACCAATTGCATCGTTCTCCCACTGAAATTTAAGTCATTTTAATTTTTTTTTTTAATGTTTGTAACCTATTTGTATTTCAGTTGTGCCCTTATTTCATGAAATAATAATAATAATAATAATAATAATAATAATGAATTATTATTATGTCCTACTAAAGAACTTTTCTCCCTATTCTAATTTGATACAACAATTATTCCAGTGAATAAGATCAAATTGGGAAAGCCAATGATTGATTGATCAAACAAGCAAGAGCATTTAGAAAATCTGCAGAGCAAGGTTGATGAAGAATAGGGTACGAGTAACCTCAGGGAATGCCTAGCCGTACAAATTTAGGGAACGCAACTAACACTGACAAAGGATAGAATTAGCAACAAATGAGGATTTTTTTTCCCTGATTGTTGCAATAACATATAAGATCAAAGGCATGTTCCCATTTGCCTTGTGACACAAGCCCTCCACGTGCCCGTATCGCAACCATGGATTAAAAAACCAAACTCAAATTACTAGAGTAAAATAAACTAACTAACATCAAAGTGAAAGTACAACACAAGCCCATCACATGTACAAGATATAGTTTGTAAATTCACATTAATCAAAGATTATTCCAAGAAAAATGCAATTAGGGCAACAATGAGACTAATTATCTATGGGTTCTTAATCAAAGTATGTTGCTAGACCATGGATAGTGTCGGGACTCATCGTGTTCTGAATTATGTGCAATAAGGTTCGCCAGGTGAAATATTGAATGATAGGAAACATGACAAAGATTATTGCTGGTATTACAATTACAAATGCAAAGAGTGGTTTATTTGGTGAAATTGCTTGCAAGGATATGAAATAACGTTCAACATCAGATTCCGATGGTCGCTAGTCAAACATGAGCTACTAACATCGTATTCCGCGATTCCTCTGATAGACCACTTCTAACACCTGTAACATCTATAAACAAACGTTCCAACAGATTAGCAGTTGGAATCGCTAGAAAATTATTGGAAGATTTCCACAAGAAAAAAGATGAAAAGAACTTCAGTAGCTCTAACGCGGCATCGCATTTCTTTAATAACTTCTTGAGCTTCGGGGTTGTAACAAGTTTCTTTCAAAATGTTTTGTTTGTTCTTTGATAAAATATGAATCAAGTCTTTATAATTTGTGAATAAGATTTGAGGAAATTGTTGTTTGGGTAAAGAACTAAATTTAGCTAAAATATATATATTTTTTTTATAAATTTTTGAAAGACTTTAATGAAGGTTTTTGGAAAGAAAAAAAAACCATGTTAAAAGTTCACATTTAACGACGGTTTTCTAAAAAAACCCTCTTCTAATATGCCTTTTTTTGTAATCTTCCAATGTTTCAACATTTAATGACCTTGATATTACGAAAGTTAACCAAACATTTAACGATGACTTTTAACAATTGTCTTATCTCTAATTTGTAGTGGTACTGGTACTGGGGACAAAAATAACGATATACCACATACGTAGAGTTTAAGATAAACTGTTGTGGTTCTTAATAGTTCTCCGGACGTACATTGATTTGGAACATTTTAGAAATTGGTGTAAGGAGAAATAACTTATTTATTGTCTTGATAATTCACCAATCAATTTGATTTGGATACATTAATTGCCTTCGAATTCATACGATTTGATTTGTATACATTAATTGCCTTCGAATTCATACAATGAAAAACTTCAGCCTAATGCAGGTCGCACGTGCAAGCAAAAATAAATTTGTAAAGTATCCTAAGTCGGTTTAAATTTAAACTATCCTAACAAAACCTACATCTTTTCTAGACTCAATAAAACGCTTGGAAGCATACAAGAATTAACTTATAATGTCAGATAAGGCCTACATGTACATAAACAAAAGTAACATGCATGTAACAAGGGTACGAGTGAGCAACAGGCCGGAGCAGCTTTAGGACTGAAATAACATCTTGAAGATCGATCGAGACACCTTTTCCTTTAGATAGAAGCCCTCCATTTGCCCATATTGCAAACCATGGATTAAAACACAAACTCAACTTACTAGAGTAAAATAAACCAACTAATGTCAACTGAAAGTACAACACATTTAAGACAAAGTTCATATGACTGTATACCGAAAAACTTTGTACTTGATTATTTTAAGAAATACTCTTAGGGCAACAGCGGGACTAATTAGTGGAGCCTGTGAGACCCACTTTTATTAATATGTGGTGTTGGACACCACTAGTGCCCCTAGCATTGTTCTTAATTAAACTATGTCTGTTAGACCATAAGTAATATTGTCGGGACTCATCAAATCTTCAGTTCTGAGCTCCAAGTTTCGCGTGATCACACCATAAGCGGAAGGTATCAAAAGAAAGGCTATTGCTGGTATTGCAATTGCAAGTGCAAAGAGTAAGGCATTTGGTGAGATTGTAAGCAAGGATATTAAATAGCAAAGAGCGGTAGAGATGGCCAATAGGTTTCTAGTGTACACCCACCATCGGGATTCCAACCGATCAGGTAGAACGAGAAAGATAATTGCATTGGCTGTAAGCGCAAGGGCCAAGCTGTTAGACAACATGAAGACGAGAAAATTCCAGTTCCCCATAACCGCGATTCCCGGAGGGTGGAATAGGGATACACTTTTATGAGTTGTAGTGGAATTGTTGTCCTCCTGCGAAAGACCTCCAGGAGGGCTCAGGACGCCCTGATATCCGACGGTCGCGATTAGAACAAGAGCTACCAACATCATATTCCGCGAATCCTCGGACAAATTATTTCTACCACGTGTGATATCTATTACCCAACCTTCCAGCGGATGCCTTACTTTCGAGAATTTATGCGGGAGTAAGTCATTAGATTTGACGTTGTTATGTTGAGGTTGGCCTTCTAATGTTGCACTATCCGATTCATGATTCACGGCTGAAAGCTTACAGGAAGTTGGAGCTGGTGAAGCATTAGAAACTCCTTCTATGGTACTCAAATTTGAAGTCACATAATTTGTGAGACTAGTGGAAGATTTCCACCAGAAAAAAGATGAACACTTGGAATCTCCAGCACGGTGTAGCATTCTCGTAATTTTTTCTCGAGCTTCACGGTTGTTTACTTGTGACTGCGAGTCATCTGATTCGAAGATTTCCAAAGCAGTCAAATGATGTGAGTTCTTGACATCTAGCTCGACTTGGTTGTTTATTAACACTTCTACTACCTGAAAATATTCCAATAGTCAGACCAAGTAATTAGCTCATTCTTTATTTATTCAGTTTTTATCTTTTTTTTTCCTATATATTTTATAGGGTTAATTTAGAAAGTAATACCCTTTAGTTTTTAGCTTTTTTATTTCTTTGAATATACATTTTTTAAAAATGGGGGTAGGGGATTGAAATCTACAGTTTAAGATAGAGTTAACTGTGGATTTATTGCTATGCCATGATTGAAAACACTATACTTTTAGTTCTCAATTGTAGCAAACATATACCTTCAGATGTATTTAATTAACGTACATGATGTGTAATTTGTACTCAACCCACTAATTAACTGGCCACAATACCCTTGAAAATAAAAAAGAAGAAAAATACGTAAAATTCCAAAAATTATATTAAAAATAAACTAAAACTGAAAATATGGTGATCATTTTTGTAATCAAAATTATCTGCTGACGAAGAAAAGCTTTGAAATTGTCTATTTAATGTAATATGATGATATATGTTTGCAATGATTAAAAATAAACAAATATACTAAAATAGTAGTAACAAAAAAAAAAAACATTTATTGATCATTTGATAATGAAGTGAGAGCAAAATGAAATATTAGCTAGAAACTTCTACTTTAAGCACCGAAGCTTTTCATGATCAATAAAAAGTACAGTTGATTAAATAAGATCACTTGCCTCAGGTTGATGAGTCTTTACAGCAATGTGTAAAGCAGTGTCGCCCATGAAATTTTTCTTATTCAGTGTCTGGCGCTCCTGGATAGCAGATCCTTTATCGACGTCTGTTCTAAGTCGTCCTACTAGTATGCAAAACGCTTTGAATTTCTTACTTTTGACAGCGATATGCAAAGCAGTCTCACTACGATTTGTCACATCTTGAATAGATGACGGGCAAGACAATAGAAACCTTTTTAGAAGATCAATGTCTCCCTTTTCTGCTGCACAATGGAGAGGAGTTTTACCCTCCTTCCCATGAACACGAACCAGATCACTGTCGGCAACTAAAAGCCGATCCACCATTTCGGTTTGCCCTTTTAGCGTAGCGAGGTGCAAAGGCGTAAATCCGTCTTGGTTTAGCTTCCTCGCAAATGATGATTTCAACAGCATTGTCTCCATCGCGAATTCGGCATGTCCAACAGAAGCTGCTATGTGCAAAGGAGTATCAACAAATGGTATACGCTCAATGTTATCAAGTGCATACGGGTCCTCCCCGATTAGACTGTACAGCATGTCAATGTCTCCTCTTTCAGCAGCAGTTTTCAACCTCTTATCCACACTGATTTCCAAGTAATGTAATATCATTACCAAAAAAGCAATTCAAAACAAGGAAATAGAGACACTTGGTAGCGGAAAACAATATATATAGATATATATATTTATGTTTTTTTTTAAGCATGAGGAATTAGATGTCAAAGTATGATGACATGAGTCCAGATTTATTGTCCTAATTTTTCTATTCTATTGGATGTCCTTCTACCACTTATTTTATATAAGGTTAAAAGTCTGACTTTATAAATAGAAGCAAATTACAAAAATTAAGCAATTATAATGAGTTATATATCAAAATTTAACTGATGGGACAGTAAATAAGACACATCAAAATGGGACAAATTTGAAGTCGTATGATATATGTTAATTTGCTGAAAATGTAAACTTGGTTTAGTATTATTTGTTTTTGTGTTATTGTAATTCAATGAGTTTATTTTAGCCATTGAATTTACTAAACATTCAATTAGAATTTCTTATGGTTTGAGACTCAACTTAATTATGTGGTGAATCTTTTAATCTCAAAATGCGTTGAGATCCTTTGGAGATTCAGGTCTCGTTGGATTTGGACGATTTCTTTTTTGACTTTTATTCTTTTTTGGGTTTCGCATATTTTTCGTAAGGACAACCATGTTGGCTGATAAGGTGGTTTTTTTTTTTTTTTTTGGATTTTCTTCACAAGCAACTTGGTGGTGGTTCATTGTTCCCATTTCTACAAGGTGAATGTGAATTAGTTATAGACTTCGTTTACATATGTACCCCTTTTCCCCTCTAGTCTTTTTCCTATAGGTTTTAGCTAAAACATTTTTAACAAGGCATGTTTGTAGCTTTTATTTTAAGGCGTAAGTTTTAGCTTTATCCAGTGAGATAAGCCCGACTATTCTTTTGTTCTTGTTTTGGCCTTTTTAGGTTGTTTTCTACTTTCTGGATGTTTTATCATAGTTTCTTTCATCTTATGTAATTCTTTTTCCTTTCCTATTAATAATATTAGAGTGATGGACTTGGTATAAGATAGGTTTTAAGAGGAGTACCAATCTAATTGGGATTTCTCGGTGAACCTAGATATATACTAGTTATCTATCCTCCTCACTTTATCAAATTTCTCTTATTCTAAACTATGCAGTAAATGTACGATTTACATTGGTATTTGACAAAGCCACAGATTAGGAAAGCATATGATTTCTCAAATTTATAATAGGTTGAGAATTTTCACCTGAACGAAGGCTCCATGGATTTACTCTTGGAAGCGAAACCGCAGCAGAGGCACCAGTACTTATCATTTATATCGTGGCTTTCAAGTTTGTTTAGCTGCTCTTAATTAGATATCCAATTAAGGCTGTTAAACTTGCTTAGTTAATCGGATTTATGTCAACTTGAAGATCTGTCATGACCCCCACAGCCTGCATATACATGACTATTTATTAAGATCGATAATGGAAATATTATATAAACTGCTAACCACTTACCATCCAATTCATATCTCAGAAAATTAGGTCAGAGCAAGATGGGAAAGGATGCTGAAATAGAAAGGGGAGGCTTTCTAGACCGACCTGATCAAGAAGGAGAGAACTGGCTCCTTTTAAAGGAGCAAAAATACGGACCTTATGAGACAATACACATGTTTTTTGTTTTTTGTTTTGTTTGTTCTTTTATTTTTTCAGTAAAAATGAGACAATATATTTTGGAAACTTAGTGAATATTACTTGCTGCATGGGGAAGTTGTCCCATAGGCGAGGAATTTCACTATACTAGTAGAAATAGTCCTATATGAGGAAGTTTATAAAGGTCGTTAAAATATTTTACGAATGCGCTTTAAATACCATCATAATAAATCAAGAGTCATTGGATGTGCCAGACATTTAACGACAATTTTTAACAATTTGTCTAATGTGTGCATGCAAAACACCTTATCAGAGGGACCTAGAGACGCATATATAACGACAGATTCCATGAAATCTATAATTAGATATGCCGCATAAGACAAAATTGTTGTATTTTATGTAATTTTATTTGTAATTTTATTTTGTACTAATGCAGGTCGGATTTTAATATTAATTCTCCTTCGATCAGCCGAACAATATCTAGACTTTTTCTTTTTGGTTCCCTTAGTACTTATTTTAAGAATGATCACCTTTCTTTTACTTTAAGGGAGACAACTCATTTTTTAAGATCATATCGTAATGAGTTTATTTCGAGCATATGCATTGAGCGTTAGATGGTTCAGTGAGCAACTTTACAAAATTATGAAGACTAAAGCACTCTCCAAAGTCCAAAAAACAAGAGTACTCTCCAAAGTCAAGAATAATAAATATACTATTATGTCGTCGTAGACTCAAGCTAAATGTTCATACATTTATTTTGCTTTGGCCTTTACGGAGATATGATTTCCGTTTTCTTGACCTCATGCTGCACCTATTATATTTAGTTTTTTAAACTGTGCATTACAAAATTGAAATACTTGAGTGAAGTAGGAGAAAAGGATGTAAAGATGGTTATAATTAAGAACATTATTCTTTCTTTTCTAAACTTAAATAAGGACATGGGTCCATCAAGTTAAGGATAAAAGTATATTAATTAGACCATAATTTAAGAATCAATGTTATTTAATGCAAAGCATTGCTTGTCGGGAGAATATGGTAATATTTGAGAGGAAGTTAAACCAAAAGTTCGGAATTAAAAATCTAACTGGAAGATGAGTGATTTACACAGAAATGTTTGTAATAATAAAAAGAAAACTTGGTGTGTAATTTTGTAAACAATGCTCCAAGTGTACACCGTCACACAATTATGTGTGTGAGGGCAATATCACAATTGAATGTTTCGAGCATTTTTAGAGAATTACTTTGGGATTAAGATCTTCTGTCTAATTTTTTGTGTCTCAATTTATGTCTAACCAATCAAATCATACCACATCATCACATAATATGTACAAAGGAATTGGTTAAAAAGCAGTTCAAACTTTTTATGTGACGTGGCGTGATATAATTGGTTTGACACCAATTGAAATACTAAAATTGGACGGAAAATCTGAGTCCCTTACTTTGCATAGGATCCTGATCTTTTTTTATCATGTCTTTTAAGTTCTAAATCTAAACCAACGTTGATGATAAACATATGCAATTCAACTGCCATTTTATAGAATAAACATGACCATTGAACCTTAGTATTCCATATAAAAGATGAAACTGGAGCTATTCAACAGCTTTTAACCGACGGTTTTTATCGGTTTGATCACCGAACTGACAAAGTTGGTTTTGAAGATTTCAAAACCGAGACCAAAATGCCAAAGCCTATTTTTGCGCGGTTAACTGACCAACTTTAATCGGTTTTTGTCAGTCGATTTTAGGCGGTTTCTATGATTGTTAAATATTTTAAACTATATATATTTTTTAAAGATGGGAAAGGATGATGAAATAGAGAGGGGAGGCTAGCTAGACCGAGCTGATCAAGAAGGAGAGAACTGGCTCCTTTTAAAGCAACAAAAATACGGACCTTAAGAGACAATACACATGTTTTTTGTTTTGTTTGTCCAAATTTTTTTTTTCTAGTAAAAATGAGACAATTTATTTTGGAAACCTGGTGAATATTATTAGCTGCTTGGGGAAGTAATCCCATAGGCGAGGAATTTCACTACACTAGTAGAAATAGTCCTATATGAGGAAGTTTATAAATGTCGTTAAAATATTTTACGAATACGCTTTAAATAGCATCATAATAAATCAAGAGTCTTTGGATGTGCCAGACATTTAACGACAATTTTTAGCATTTATCTAATGTGTACATGCAAAACACCTTATTAGATGGACCTAGAGACGCATATATATAACGACAGTTTCCCCGAAATCTATAATAAGATATGCCGCATAAGACAAAATTGTTGTATTTTATGTAATATTATTTGTAATTTTATTTTGTACTAATGCAGGTCAGATTTTAATATTAATTCTCCTTCGATCAGCCGAACAATATATAGACTTTTTCTTTTTGGTTCCCTTAGTACTTATTTTAAGAATAATCACCTTTCTCTTTCTTTAAGGGAGACGACTCACTTTTTAAGATCATATCATAATGAGTTTATTTCGAGCATATGCATTGAGCGTTAGATGGTTCAATGAGCAACTTTACAAAATTATGAAGACAAAAGCACTCTCCAAAAAAAAAAAAAAAACAAAACAAGAGCACTCTCCGAAGTCAAGAATAATAAAAATACTATTATTTGGTCGTAGACTCAAGCTAAATGTTCATACATTTATTTAGCTTTGGCCTTTACGGAGATATGATTTCCGTTTTCTTGACCTCATGCTGCACCTATTATATTTAGTACTTTATTAAACTGTGCATTACAAAATTGAAATACTTGAGTGAAGTAGGAGAAAAGGATGTAAAGAAGGCTATAATTAAGAACATTATTCTTGCTTTTCTAAACTTAAATAAGGACATGGGTCCATCAAGTTAAGGATAAAAGTATTAACTAGACCATAATTTAAGAATCAATGTTATTTAACGCAAGGCATTGCTTGTCCGGAGAATATGGTAATATTTGAGAGGAAGTTAAACCAAAAGTTCGGAATTAAAAATCTAACTGGAAGATGAGTGATTTACACAGAAATGTTTGTTATTTAACGCAAGGCATTGTTGCAATGTGCACGAGCCCCCTATGTGAAAATATTTGTGTTTGTTTTTTTATGAAGGAGTTTTTCTGGTACGTCGACATACTAGTAAGTAAAATTTTTTTAACCGTTAAATTTATATACTTTTTAATTTTTACGTATTTTTATACAGATTTGATGGACAAAAAATCTTTACTTTTTATAGACATGAATGCCGGAAGCGATTGTTTTGCGTAACTGCGGCCTCATCATTTCGTTGGGCCAAGAAGGAATAGACTTTGAAGAAAACTGGAGATAAGTCAAGCAACACACAGTTTGTGTTTCATGTTTTGATCATTAAGCAGGGAAATGTGTGGGGGCTGGACTGAGTAGAGCGCTAGAAAATTGTATGTTATATAGATATATTTGTACACTCTTCAGAAAACGAAATAATAAAATGAGACCGTTGCTATAAAGTTCAATAATATTTTTATAGTTAAAGTTAGAGGCGAGGACTTGAACTCTATAGTTTGCGATAGAGTCAGGTGTGAGAATAATGTTAGACTATGCAAGCCTGCAACTATGACTATAAAGTGACGAAATCAGACCACTCATTAAACTTTCATCATACATATACGAAACAATGATTTATCTCTATTTGGTTTACTGGATTAAATTTTCTTAATTTGAACTTTTTATTTAAATAGAAAAATTCAAACTGTGTAGTTTAAATTAACGTTTAGATGTGGAGTTAAAATTTAAGTTTAAACAGGGAATAAAATTCAAATTTATATTTAGTAGATGCGAAAAGTAGAGAGGGTGGACATATTTTTACTGTTCAGAGATAGTTTGAATGGTTGGAAAGTTTAATTACTCAGTTCAAACGGAAAATATAATTCGAACTGCATGTTTACTAAATACGAGTTTAAATTATAATCACGATTCAAACTGAATTGAACTCAACTAAACATGTGAAACAAATGGGCTAGACAATCCCTTATTTCAAATGATCATCAGCAACAAGACGACGACAAAAAAAAAAAAGAAAAATTTTTCCTCTGTTTACATATGTGTGTTGTATTTAATTAGCTCTAAAAGCCATGAGGCGGAGACTATCGATGATCAGAGAAGATTTAACATTAATCAAGTTACTTTCTGAATTTTCATTAACGATTAAGAACTTTGGTGTTTATACTGATCACCTTTAGTTAATATAAAGGGAAAAAAAAAAACGCATAAACACAAAAGGGGAAAAAAAAGAGTAGAGAAAGACACGCAACATATTGTGTATTTAGTTCTTTTGACTTTTCGCCTTCACGGAGGCTGACATATTTAGGATGCGTTTGAAATTTTTTTTTAAAAATATTTTTGTACATTCTTTGAGGTGTAAAAATAAAAACAGTCTACAAATCAACTTTGTTTAATAAAAGTTTTAAAAACAGAAACAAAAATAAAAAATAATAGGTGCGTTTAAAACTCACTCTAAAATGATTTTATTTTCTATATGAAAATAAAAATGAAAACATTTTCATTTCCATTTTAGAATTATTTCTGAAAATAAGTTTGGTAGTTTTATTCAGAGATTGTTTACAGTTTAAACAAAAATTTGAAACTGCGTTTGGGGATTTCAATTTTGAAAGCATGTAATAATATTTAAAATAATAATAACTCTCTCTAGAAATAAGCTTTTTGAATGATTCAAAATCCTACATGACCCATAACAAGTCTAGTTCATGCCTATAAATCAGTTTCCCAAAATTTGGATCTAATAATTTTAGAAAAATAAAAATACACAGACAAGTCATATTGAAAATCTTACAATAAGTTCAAGCCACACAATAACATTTCAAAACTTTGATAAAATCATCTACTCATCCAATTAAGGTCACTTTAGTCTCCATAAATAGCTTATTAAAGATACTAAAACATATCAAAAATCCAGATTTATCAACATGCCAGAACTTATTTAAAAGTTATAGTGTTAAATTAAGTTAACCCTTTTATCAAACACCCTTCATGCAAATATGATTTCTAATATATTAAACATGATAAACATGTGAAACCAAACCATAGCCATTCCGTATTAGACAAGAGAAGAAGATTAAACAACAAAATAAGTACTTAATGAAAATACCAAACTCGGATTACCACCAAGATCCACACAAAGACCTCTAAAATCTCAAATTTAGGAGTCAAACCATGATTTAAAAGCACACCTTCTTTTATATAGACCTTAGGCTCCAAGATTTCTTCAAAACCTTGAGTTTTAATGGAGTTTTGGGGGCTTTCACTTAAGCCCTAATCCTAATTACGGGATTGGAGTTTTCAAAGGATTAGAGAGGATAAAAGAAGGTTTGGTTTCTGGTGTGGAAGAAAAAGAGAGAAAAAGTGGGTTTAAGAATATGAGAGAAGAGAGAGGGTGAAGGCCAAGTGGAGTTTTGCGCTGCATGAAAGAAGCATACATGAGTGGAAAATTTATGTCTCAGAACTGTGTCTGAGCTTGATTAGAAGAGAAGACCGGAGAAGACTGGAGAAGAGAACGGAGAAATTGCGAAAGAGATTGCGTGTGAGAAGTGAATGGCAGAAAAAAATTTCAGATGAGAGAAAATGTAAATGGAAAAATGAAAACGAGTTTAGATCGTTTTCAGAATGGTGATAATTTTTTAGAAAAATACAAAAATGATTTTGTTTTCATTTCTGGTACGGTGTTAAACCAAACACTATTTTTATGCCGTTTTCATTTTTCTCTACTCGTTAAACGAGAAGAACGTTTTTGAAAACGGAAACAAACAGGCCCAATGAGAATGTTTTTTTTAAAGAAAGTATAAAACAATTGAAACTTATTTTTTCATTTCCGTTTTCATTTCTAGTACTTATCAACAAAGTTATATTAAATAATTAATTATTAATTACTAATTATTATATATATTTATTAATAATTAATAAATAGATATAATTAATAACTAATAAATAGATAATAATTACTTTATTATTTATTAAATATTAATTTATTACTATTAAGTTTTTAATTTTATTAATAAAATAATATAGTAATTAATTATTTAGTTAAAAATTAATCTCCAAAAATCTATTATATAACATATTAACAATAAAACACGTAATAATAGGTTATTAAATAAATAATTAATAATTAATATATCAATCATATATTATGTTAATTATAATCTATTAATTAGTAAATAGTTGGTAAATAAAAAATAAAAAATATTAAATAAATAATAAATACTCAATTAATAGTTAATATTAAATTAAAATTATCAATATGTAATATACTAATCAATAATAATTAATAATTGATAATTAGTAATTAATCATTATAAAAAGAATAATTACCAAAAATTTATCATGTGATATATCAAATAATAAATGATCAAATAAACATTAGTAATTAATTAACTAATTAGTTAATTATGTAACTAAGAGTTCATAATTTAAGTAGTAAACGGAATATTAATAAATTATGTATATACTAATTATTTTTCTTAATACACTAATTAATTGCTTATAATCTAATAAATATGTGTACATTACTAACATAGTAATTACTTATAATTAATTACTAATTACTAATTTTTAATTATTTAGCATATTTACTTATTATATATATAGTTTAATTACTAGTGAACTCATTAATGATATTTTATCCATTATTATTATATTATTAATAATTTTTATTTGTTAAATTATTATCAATTATTAATTACTTAATATATTAATTTAAGATTATTAATAATATGTACTCAAAACAAACATAAATGTAACTAAACACTTTTCAAAGACTACCAAATGTAATTTCAAAATCAGTTCCAGAATGATTTTTAAAACAATTTTATTTTTATTTTTTGTACTAAAAAGAAAATCATTTTGAAAATGTTACCAAACGGACCTTTAAATTTTTGATTTCTTGATCAAATGGCCACACTTTGTATATGTTTCTAAACTTGTGCATGGCAAAATTAAAATACTAGAAAAGTATCAGAAAAAGGGGGAACAAAGGTATGATATTGAAACATTATCCCCATCCATTAATATTAGGATCCTTCTACGGTAGGAGATTCTATCGGCATTTCTATATTTAAATTTGGTCAAAATCACATTGTAATAAAAAAGTATAAATAGAGAATTTTTTATTTAAATTTGATGTCTGAAAATAGAGATTTAATGGTGGTTTATATTTTTCTGTCATAAACATTTTTTTTTTTCGGTAGTTCTAAGCATATCAAACTCATGTATCAATTTCATTATGAGGTAAGTCAATGTGGGAATCACTTTTTAGGAAAGTGTAGTACAAACGTATGGGGAAAATGACGAATACGAAGAAAATTAGGGCGTTCTAATAAAGAATGAATTTTGGAAAAAAAAAAAAAAAACCCACAAGGATAGTTACTATTTAGAGTACAATATTTACAGATAAACACAAATTGTGCTAACTATTTACCATCACTTACCACCAAAAAGAGTACTTATTAAAAAAAAAAAAAAAAGGAGTTTCGCCGTAAAAAGTTGCGAGAAGGGATATATATTTTCGTGCCTTGTATTCTAGGCAACAAAATCTTTGTTTACTCGGAAATAAATTTGTGTCAAATTTTTTCGTGGTTCTGCACTTCAGGTAATAAAAAATAGGATTCCAAATTATTAATAAATAAGATTTTTTGATACACTTACTTATTGGTAGGTAGAATTTTTTTAATTATTAAATCTATATATTTTTTAATTTTTACGTAATTTTATATAAATTTAACGAAAAAAAATCTAATTTACCAATATATTAGCGTAACGGTGAAGGTATCAATTAATAATTAGTGAATAATTTCTTCTCTAACATGACGTGCGTCGGATAGGATGTTGACTATCGTATCAATAGCACGCTTTTATTCATAAAAAAAGAAAAAAAAAAACCACACTTTCTAGCACCGCCATTCAAATTTGATACTAGCATTATTCCAATGAATAAATTCGCAATTTGGGAAGCCAATGGTTTGAAGTTTGATCAAATAACACGTAAAAGAATACGAGTGAGCAATCAAGGATGAAAATATCAATATTTTTACCGACATTTTTATGAAATTTTCTGTATTTTAAAAATATTGATATGGAAATAGAGGTGTAGTATTTTTCTGTAGAATATCCTGAAATTTCTATGAATATTTCTGTAAATATTGATATTTTTACGGAAATTTCCATTTACGCGTAAAAAATGGTGTTAAATGACTGAATATCGTGAAAATTTTATGGAAATTTCAAGGAAATATCTGTAAAATTTTCACAGAAATATCTGCAACTTTATATATATTATTTTATTTTTTAGAAAAAAAATTAAAAAATATGACATGTCCAAAATTATATAAGGAACAATTCAAACTCCATGTCTTGGTATAAGTATCGTTTACACCAAAACTGTGTTCAAAATAACTTCGAACCTCCTAGAAGCTCCTTTTCGTATTGATAATTTATCATCATGTATTATGTTGACTTTCAGCTATTTGCTTAATTTGTGAACGTGTATGCTTCGTATTTATAGTATTATGATCACATTTTTCCTTGCATATTTATCAAATAATTGGTATTTTAATTAAGAGAATGTATTATTATCTATTTTAAGGTTTCTTAAAATCTCATCTAAAAATAGAGTGTTTTAGTATGAATTTTCATTTTTTACGTCAATTTCCGCTGATATTGATATTTCTGTAAAATTTAAGTACCGATATTTTCATCATTTTGAGCAACAAAAGAGCTTGTTTCAGATTGTTTTTAGACTGAAATAACATAAAAAAATATGAGGCATGTTCAAACACCCATTTGTCTGTATTGCAACCATGAGATTAAGGCACAAACTAATGCCAAGTGAAAGTAAAACACAAGCCAATCATATATATTATGATATCACGTGAGGCATAATATAAATCAACTCATGTGAGGCATGTATTATGATATCACGTCCTTTTATTAGTGTTTGGTGTTGGACTTCACTAGTGCCTCAAGCATTGTTCTTAGTTAAACTATGTTGCTAGACCTTAGGTAGCATCGTGACTCATCCAGATCTCATTTTTGTGCGCTAAGTTTACCTTCATCCAAGTATAAAAGCACGGTATAACAAGAAAGACTATTGCCGCTATTACGATGACAAGAGCAAAGAGTGAGGCATTTGGTGAGATTGCATGCAATGCTATTAAATAGCAGAGAGAGATAAACGTGGCCAATAGATTCCGGGTGTACAACCACCATTGAGTTTCCCTCCGATCAGGCAGTACGAGAAAAATAATTGCATGTGCTGTAAGGGCAAGGGCCAAACTGTTGAACAACATGAAGAAGATAAAACTCCAATCCCCCATAACTACGGTTCCTGGAGGGTGGGGTAATTTTTTGTTGTCATGATCAGTTGCAGAGGAATTGTTACTGTCCCCTTGCCAAAGACCACCCGGAGGGCTCAGAACGCACTGAAATCCGATAGTCGCAACGAGAACGAGAGCTACCAACATCATATTCCGTGAATCCTCCGACAAATTATTTCTACCACGTGTAAGATCTATAGCCCAACGTTCCAGCGGACGCCTTAGTTTGAAGAACAATTGTTTTGGAGGAGGTGATTCATTAGCTTCGACGTTGTTACCTTGAGGTTGGCCTTCTAATTCCGCAATATCCAACTTACAATTCAAGGCCGAAAGCTTAGTAGAAGCCGGAGCTCGTCCTATGGTATTCAAATCCGCAGTCACATTCGCGGGACTAGTCGAAATACTAGGAGCTGATGAAGACTTATGAGAAGATTTCCACCCGAAAAAAGATGAAGACATAGAACCTCTAGTACGACATAGCATTTTCTTCATTACTTCCCGAGCTTCACGGTTATTTACTTGTGACTGCGAGTCCTCTAATTTTAAGATTTCCAAAGCTGTCAAATTATCTGAATTCTTGGCATCTAGCTTGACTTTGTTGTCTACTAACATTTTGACTACCTGAAAATAATCCAATAGTTAAACTAGATAATGAACTCATTGTTTATTTATTCGCTTGTTTTTTTTTTTTTTCTCTTTTTTTTTTTTTTTTTTTTTTTTTTAACACCTTAGGGGTAGGAAATTTGAACTCTATGCTTTAAGATGGAATCAGTTGGATTTACTGTCAAACTATGCCTAAAGCTACTATACCCTTAGTTTTCAATGGTTGCAAAAATATCGTGTTAGATGTATTTAATAGGCGTGTGTGTATAATCTATGCTCAGTTGGATAGTAAATTGACCAAAGTACCCTTGAGAAAAAGAAGGAAAATGTATGTTACAAAAATAACCCCAAAAAAACTAAAAAAAAAAAAAAAAAAAAAAAAAAGAAAACATTATTTTATATGGTCATGAAGTGAAGGAGAAAAATAAAATAGCTAGAAGCTTCTACTTAAAGCACCCTATAGATTTCATGATCAGTAGAAAGTAAAATTGATTAAATTATAAGAACTTGCCTCAGGTTGATTAGTTTTTACAGCAACGTGTAATGCAGTGTCACCCGATTCATTTTTTCTGTTTAGACTCTCGTTCTCCAGAATAGCGGATCCTTTGTCGACGGATGTTCGAAGTCGTCGTACCACTACGCGAAACGCTTCGAATTTCTTACTTTCCACAGCGATATGCAAAGCAGTTTCACCACGATTTGTCACATCTAGAATCGACGATGGGCAAGAGAGTAGAAATCTTTTCAGAAGAGAAGTGTTTCCGTGTTCTGCTGCATAATGGAGAGGAGTTTTGCCCTCCTTCCCATGAACACGAACAAGATCGCTGTCGGCTTCTACAAGCCGATCCACCATTTTGGTTTGCCCGTTTAGCAAAGCGAGGTGCAAAGGCGTAAATCCGTCTTGGTTTAGCTTCCTAGCAAATGATGGTTTCAACAGCATTGTCTCTCTAGCAAATCCGGTATGTCCCAGAGAAGCTGCTATATGCAGAGGAGTATCAACAAATGGTATACGCTCAATGTTGTCTAGTACATATGGATCCTCCCGGATTAGACTATACAACATGTCAATGTCTCCTTTTTCAGCAGCAACTTTCAACCTCTCGTCCATTCTGATCTCCAAGTCGAGTAAAATCATTAAAAAAGAAAAAAAGTAGATCAAAAATATGGAAAGAGAAACTTGAAAGGGAAAAACAATATATATTTAATATATATATATGCATTTTTTCAAGTCAAAGCTGATAGAGTATGATATGAGTTTAGATCTACTGGTCTAACTTTTCAATCATATCCCTGTTCTGCTTAATCATTTTTCATGTCATATAAATATAAATTTAACAGTCTGACTATATAAATAGAAACCACTTTAACTACAATATAATATAACTTTGCCAGTTTTTAATTCTTTTTATTTTTGAACTTAGGGTGTGGGAATAAGAATACAAATTGTGCATTGTGGAGTCAGACATAAATTATTGTTAGACTATACTTGCTACCACATGACTTTGTAAGATTCTGATAACAATTATTATATTCAAAGGAATAGTTTCTCAATTTGTTTATACATATATATATATATAATAATTTATTAATCAAGTATCATATTATAAAGTATCTGGCCATGCGATTTAAATTGGTATATATATGTCACAAAAACTACAGATTAGGTAGCATGTATCAGCTTACTCAAACTTATAATAGGTTGAAAATTTTCACCTGACGGAAGTCTCCATTGAATTTCCTCTTGGAAGCAAAACCACAGCAGAGTCACCAACACTACTGATTTATGGTTTCGTGGCTTCAAACTTAATTGGATTAGCTGATCAAGGCTGTTAAGCTTGATATGTTAATCGATAGCCTGCATATATATGATTATTTATAATTAAGATTGATAATACAAAGATTGAGCCGGTAACAACTTACCATCCGTTTCAGTTCTCAGAAAAGATCAGCTCAAGATGGGAAAGGATGATGAAATAGAAATTGGGGAAGGTCAGGCCGAGCTGATGATGGAATAGAAAGGTTGAATCTAGTATTAATTCTCCTCCACTCTCAGCCGCACATGTAATTTTTCTTTTTCCCCCATTGGAATTTTTTTTTTCTTTTTTTTTTAAAAGAAGAATCACCTTTTCTTTTTCCTAAGGGAGAAGAATCACTTCTTAAGATTATACCGTAATGAAGTTCATTTGGAACATTTGCGCATTGAGCTAGCATTGGAGGATCCATTATTGAGCATCTTTATAAAGTGAAGAGGACAATAAATTACTCTCCCAATAAAGTAGTGAAAATGCAATTATTAGGTCATGATAGAAGCAATATTCTTCATATATGCTGAGTATTTAAATTTATTCTTAATTCTTGTGATTGTTTGCCTAACTATTACATGATTTATTATTTGATTTGAGACCGAGAGGTGATAATTAAATAAGCTCTTAATTGAAATACCATGAGTTGTTCATGGGTTAGAAATATCTATGATGCTTATTCAGTTCTTTTGAATTTCTTGCACTTAATGTTTTTCAACAGGTTTAGAAATCTGACAGAGATGTAGAGTTTGCTTGTTGGATTAAAATTATTGTTGCTTGAGAAAGAATAATAATTGCTTTAGAGAAATTACTGTCAGTATAGGATTGAATGTTAATTTTCTTGAATTATGAAAATTTGAATAAGATTAATTTTTGTGAAATTAGAAACCCTAGAGTCTTAATCTATTGAAGTTTATTCCACTACTTAGCATTGTTTAATTTATTTAATTGTTTTAGTTTTACTTTACTTAATTTTATAAACTCTCTTTTCAATTATTCAAATAAAATTGGGGTTAATATAATTTCGGTAATTAGTAAACAACAATCTTTGTAGGACGATACTCTTATTCACTATTATAGTACTTGATTACGATAGCATATACTTGCGTTACCATTTTTCACAATAATATACTAGTTATCTATCCTCCTCACTTTATCAAATTTATCTGATTCTAAACTATGCAGTAAATGTACGATTTACATTGGTATTTGACAGAGCCACAGATTAGGAAGCATATGATTTCTCAAATTTATAATAGGTTGAGAATTTTCACCTGAACGAAGGCTCCATGGATTTACTCTTGGAAGCGACACGGCAGCAGAGGCACCAGTACTTATCATTTATATCGTGGCTTTCAAGTTTGTTTAGCTGCTCTTAATTAGATATCCAATTAAGGCTGTTAAACTTACTTAGTTAATCGGATTTATGTCAACTTGAAGATCTGTAATGACCCCCACAGCCTGCATATACATGACTATTTATTAAGATCGATAGTGGGAATATTATATAAACTGCTAACCACTTACCATCCATATCACATCTCAGAAAATTAGGCCAGAGAAAGATGGGAAAGGATGATGAAATAGAAAGGGGAGGCTAGCTAGACCGAGCTGATCAAGAAGGAGAGAACTGGCTCCTTTTAAAGCAACAAAAATACGGACCTTATGAGGCAATACACATGTTTTTTGCTTTTTGTTTTGTTTGTTTTTTTTTTTTTTTCTGTAAAAATGAGACAATATATTTTGGAAACTTGGTTAATATTACTAGCTGCTTGGGGAAGTTGTCCCATAGGCGAGGAATTTCACTATACTAGTAGAAATAGTCCTATATGAGGAAGTTTATAAAGGTCGTTAAAATATTTTACGAATGCGCTTTAAATAGCATCATAATAAATCAATAGTCCTTGGATGTGCCAGACATTTAACGATAGTTTTTAGCATTTATCTAATGTGTACATGCAAAACACCTTATTAGATGGACCTAGAGACGCATATGTAACGACAGTTTCCATGAAATCTATAATAAGATATGCCGCATAAGACAAAATTGTTGTATTTTATGTAATATTATTTGTAATTTTATTTTGTACTAATGCAGGTCAGATTTTAATATTAATTCTCCTTCGATCAGCCGAACAATATATAGACTTTTTCTTTTTGGTTCCCTTAGTACTTATTTTAAGAATAATCACCTTTCTCTTTCTTTAAGGGAGACGACTCACTTTTTAAGATCATATCATAATGAGTTTATTTCGAGCATATGCATTGAGCGTTAGATGGTTCAATGAGCAACTTTACAAAATTATGAAGACAAAAGCACTCTCCAAAAAAAAAAAAAAAAAAAACAAAACAAGAGCACTCTCCGAAGTCAAGAATAATAAAAATACTATTATTTGGTCGTAGACTCAAGCTAAATGTTCATACATTTATTTAGCTTTGGCCTTTACGGAGATATGATTTCCGTTTTCTTGACCTCATGCTGCACCTATTATATTTAGTACTTTATTAAACTGTGCATTACAAAATTGAAATACTTGAGTGAAGTAGGAGAAAAGGATGCAAACTTAAATAAGGACATGGGTCCATCAAGTTAAGGATAAAAGTATATTAATTATACCATACTTTAAGAATCAATGTTATTTAACGCAAGGCATTGCTTGTCCGGAGAATATGGTAATATTTGAGAGGAAGTTAAACCAAAAGTTCGGAATTAAAAATCTAACTGGAAGATGAGTGATTTATACAGAAATGTTTGTAATAATAATAAAAAAAAAACCTGGTGTGTAATTTTGTAAACAATGCTCCAAGTGTACACCGTCACACAATTATGTGTGTGAGGGCCAAATGACAATTGAATGTTTCGAGCATTTTTAGAAAATTTCTTTGGGATTAAGATCCTATGTCTAATTTTTTGTGTCTCAATTGATGTTTAACTAACCAAATCATACCACATCATCTCATAATATGTAAAAAGGAGTTAGTTAAAAAGCAGTTTAAACTTTTTATGTGACGTGGCGTGATATAATGGGTTAGACACCAATTGAAATACTTAAACTGGACGGAAAATCTGAGTCCCTTACTTTGCATAGGATCCTTATCTTTCTCGTTCATGTCTTTTAGGTTCTAAATCTAAACCAACGTTGATGATAAACATATGCAATTCAACTGCCATTTTATAGAATAAACATGACCACTGAACCTTAGTATTCCATATAAAAGATGAAACTACTGAAGCTATTCAACGGTTTTTAACTGACGGTTTGATCACTGAACTAACTAAAGATTTCAAAACCGAGACCAAAACACCAAAGCCTATTTTTGGACAATTAACCGGTCTACTTTAATCGGTTTTTGCCGGTCGATTTTAGACAGTTTCTAAGATTGTTAAATATTTTAAACTATATATATTTCAAATTTTAACTTTTTTACAGTCAAAATTCCAAAAAAAACGTTTCTAAAGCCAAAAGTCTGGCAAATTTTCACATGGGTGGTTTGGTTAACCGATCGATAATGTCGATTTTCATCATTTTTATATTTTTGTTTTTTTTTTTATAGCTTTTGTCGATCGGAGGAGGTCGGCTTCGATTTTTTCTTTACTTTTTTTTTTTTTTAACACTCCTAGTTGAAACACATCGACTCGAATTGAAATGAATGTTGAAGTACACAAGTTCAGAATGAAGGTGTGGTTGTTGATTTACATGTACGTCTTTTGCATATAGTTTTGTACATTTTTTTTACAAGTCCTCGCGGTGCTTAGGAACATTGTTCTTTGTAATATTTTTTTTAGCAACAACATACCAAGTACTCTTGAAATTACTGCTAAATTAAAATATGACTTTATAATTACTTCTGTTTTATTGATGAGTTTTTACAGCAAATGATTTTTTACTTCCTGACCTTCTAATTTTTGCAATTTTCCCCCAAATTTGTAAAATTATTGCAATGTGCATGAGCCCTCTACCTGAAAATATTTGTGTTTGTTCTTTTATAGGGGAGATTCTCTGGTATATCAATAAACTGATAGGTCAAGTTTTTTTAACCGTTAAATTTATATATTTTTTAACTTTTACTTTTATACTATGTTACTTTTTATAGACATGAATGCCGAAAGCGATTGTTTTGCGTAACTGTGGCCCATCATTTCGTTGGGCCAAGAAGGAATAGGCTTTGCAAGTCAACACAGTTATCTTTAATAAATTAAGCAGGGAAATGTGTGGGGGCTGTGGACTGAGTGTAGAGCGCTAGAAAATTGTATGTTATAAAGATATATTTATACACTCTTCAGAAAACGAAATAATAAAATGAGACCGTTGCTATAAAGTTCAATATTGTTTTTATTTTTGAAGTTAGAAGCGAGGAATTGAATTTTATAGTTTGCGATAGATCGTCAGGTGTGAGAATAATGTTAGACTATGCAAGTCTGCAACTATGACTATAAAGTGACGAAATCACACCACTCATTAAACTTTCATACATACGAAACAATGATTTAGCTCTGTTTAGTTTACTGATTTAAATTTTTTTAATTTGAATTTTTTTATTTGAATATAAAAATTTAAATTGTGTGGTTTAAATTGTAGTTTAAATTAACGTTTGGATGTGGAGTTAAAATTTTAGTTTGAGCAGGGAATAAAATTTAAATTTGTGTTTGGTAGGTACGAAAAGCAAAGAGGACGGACACATTTTTACTATTCAGAAGTGGTTTGAATGGTTGACTTTAAGGGAGAGCTAAACTCTAAGTTGGACAGTTTAATTCAGTTTAAATGAAGAATATAATTCAAACTACATACTTACTAAACACGAGTTTAAATTATGACTATGGTTCGAACTGAGTTGAACTAAACTAAACTCGTGAAACAAACGGGCTAAACAATCTGTTATTTCAAATGATCATCAGCAAAAAGATGACGACAAAAAAAAAAGAAGAAAAAATTTTCCTCGTTTTACATATGTGTGTTGTATTTAATTAGTTCTAAAAGCCATGAGGCGGAGTCTATCA